TAAACGTGTAACACCCTTAATATAAATTGACCAGAGGATATCTAACTTCCGGGATTCTTGGGGATTTTGGCAGTTGTATTCTGAAAAATAAAGAGGCCACTTTTGCTCATACTCGTGTGCAGCAACTCATTTACGCGGGATAGTGTTCATCCATAAGCTTAGATACGCTTGGTTTGTGTATTAGATATGTCAAATGGTTAAATGGCATTATTTAATCAGTTACGATTTTCATTTTTTAATGTGACTCTATAATTAAAAGGCTGGTATGATTATTGGAAAAAATAAATGTAATAGAGAAGGCCTTCTCACTTCATCGGACCAGATAAATAAATATAGTATTTTAGCGAATGACAGTTTTCGTCAAAACCTTAGAGAAAGTGTACGTCTGGGTTGGCATTTTTTATACTTTTTATTATATTCCTTAACGTTCCTAGTGAAAAATAGGGCTTCAAGTTAGGGCTTTGAAGTTTCGGTAGCAGTGGTATCTATTTTTACAGTATGGAATCGCTAGCCTCATGCACAACCTTCCCTCTTTACCATTCTTATCACTGGCTTAACGAGGTTTGAGAGTGCGTCGACCGGAGATCGAACCCCGGACCACATGAGGAGTGCTTCGTTCGGGGATCCAACTCTGAACAAAATACGTGGCTGACGCACTTTCCACCGCTGTGTCACCGACGGTGATTAGGTGGGAAAATGAACATTATTGAAATGTCAGGTAGTTACTGAATATTGGTCTGTCTCGTATCTGTATTGACTTAGTTTGACTACCAGTATTCTGTATGATAAAATCGATTATTAGAGCCCATTTGTTCGAGATCTCAATGATAATCAAAGGAGAAGAGATAAATTAGATCATAATGATCATCAGTATTGCAAACATATCCCTCGTCAGTTGACTCTATCACTGCCATTCTGTTCTTGAGTTCTTGTAAACTGTTGATATTGGTGAATATCAGCAGGATAGTCTAGTGTGCTGTACTCTTTTTCATTGGAGTCATTATTGACTGTAAAGTTTAAGCAAAATTTAATTTCACCTAAACAGATAACGTGCATTTTCGCAATCATGAAATCTTACAGAAATTAAGGATGTAGATTTTGAGTAGTTGTATTACAAATGGTAGACTATTTAATAAAAATGTTATTTTTTTGTTGCTGTTGTGTTCTCTGAGCTGGATGACACATGTGCGAAGCTCTCATTTCCCTACTAGGCAACATCTTCACTTTGAAGTACTTCAAATTAAAGTATGCGCTGAAGATGTCTAGTAGGACAATGAGAGCTTCGCACATAAGCCATCCAGCTTAGAGAACACAACAACGTGAAAATCATCCACCTGAGCTACAAACCTTCTCCATCATATCTTAGAATATTATCAGTGGATCCGATTATTTTTTTAAAAAAAGTTCGTAATCATATAATAAATACTGCCACCATACAATAGTGTGAGATTGATTTACTTCTTGTATGTGATTTTTTTTTCTTAACCTTCTGACACCTTATGGATTCAGTTGTCTTGGTAACTAATTGCTGCAAACACTATGTGTATATATACATCATTTGGTTAAACTGATAAGAAAAGTGGCTAAGTTAATAGATAAATATGGGAATAGTTAGACACATACAACAGACAAAATAAGTTTTAATGGACTGCAGTGTATGCTTATGTAATCATTCGATTATACAATTTTCATTCAGACTATTAATTCACCAGTTCACTAAAATGTTATCTTAACAATGTATCATGCATACCTTAGCTGCACGGACAACCATACATACATACAAACAAACGACATAGATACGCATGGGTCATCAAATCACGATCTAAACACCACCACCAACACCAATAACAATAGGCGAGTAGCGATCACGATTAGTCAGTCAGTGCTGTGAGATTAAAGATGATGCAACCATTATGTGCGAATAGTATAAACAGGAGAGTACGTTTCCGCTGTACCTAACAACAACTAAGTCTAGTGTCATTGCGTGTGTGTTGTGTGTGTGAGAGTCGATTGTTTGTGTATCTGTGTGTGTGTGCGACATGCAGTAGTGGAGGAAAGGTGTCACAGGAGGAAACTGTGTATAAAATAAATAACAATAAACATTACGTCGTAATCTGTTTATTGATAGTTGTTTACGCATAGGATACACAAATTCTCATCTCCATGCGATCAAATGTATTAAGCAGGTGTGATTGATTATAAATTCAAGGTGTCTAAGTCAAGTCTCTTATCTCCTCTATGACTGAGATAACTAATCTGTTGTTTGTTTGTTTGTTTGATTGTACACGATGTCGGCGAAAATGACAGCAGTGTGCCAGTGTGTTGATTAGTATAGTGTCAAGTGGTCAGTGTGTTATTTTGGTGTGTGAATTAATGGAGTGAATCCTGTGACAATAGTGGTGGATATTAGTGACATCACAGAATGAATAGGAAATGTAAAATAACATGTCGAAAAAAATCCTCTTTTTGGTAGACATTCAGATACAATACAATTTTTGATCGCCACCACGATATGTTTGAAGGCATCCTGCACTACGGTTATTATGAGAGGTAATTTGTAAAGGAAATTATTTAGTTCTCAGGTAATTTTAGCCTCTATACTGTAAAGATTAAATTGATGTGGACATGGTTTGTATTTTCGTACATACAGGGCAAATTCGTTCTTACATTCACCCCATTATTCAGATGTCATAATGTCATAAAAGTCTCTCTGTGTTTTATTGGGACCTAAAATTAAGGTGCATGTTTGTTGGTATCTCTGTTCAGTTGAATTTCATAGTATATTGAGGTTACTCATGCAACTGCAATGCGACTTTATTTTTTTTGTAGTAGGTTTCTACTTATTTCTTCACACCTTTTCCGTGGGCCAGTACGTTAACTTTATAAACTAGTATGCGCAATCATTTTCGTTAAGTATTCTATTCAGCTGTCTAGTTTTATCCGAAATTTATGAATTCATTAAATGTTGCTGTAGTCATAGTTCTTGTGATAATAGTTAATTGTTAAACATTTCCTGATTATCGGCCATGCTCAGTGGAGCATAGGACTTCAAGCTAGAGGTCTTAAGTTTCAGTAGCAGTGGTGTTTTTTAACGGGATGCGGTTGGTAATCGCATGCCTAACCTCCTCTCTTTACTGTGTTTACTACAGGTTGAGAGAAGCAAAGAAGTGCCTGGGCTGACTTGACTAGCTGTGATAAGATTTTAGAAGTCATCTTTTCTTCTAGATGCCTTATTCAAATTTATCAAATGGACTAACTGTGTTCCATGTTTAAGGTGACAAATATAAATAGGGATTCTGAGTCATTGATTTTTACTAAGTTGACAACACTGACTAGTTCATCAAAGTATATAAGCAAATTACTAATCAATGCATAAATATTAAATCGTCCTAGTAACTGTTTTTTCTTCTTTCTTTATAAATGCAGTGTGATTACTACTCACACATGTAGTAAACATTGTTATGCAACACATACAGTAGATTATATTTGAATAAAATTTGTTGTCATGGTCACCCGTAATCTTAATTGCCTATATAGGAATTATTAGGCTTCTTATAAATCTTAGCTAATTGTTAATTTAACCATCTTGGTAACTAATTAATTGTGTATGAGTTGAAATCAAGTGTGTCTTGACTTTTAAACAATGACAACGAAAAAAAATTTGCACGATATTTTATGGGTTGGCAGTTAAGTCGTTATGTAATAGGAATAATGATGTCAGTGTAATTATTTTTTTGAATATGTGTGACTCGTTATTCTGACTGAACAAAAAACAACTCAAAAGCCAATCAAGTATTTACATGTAAGTGTTCAGTGGCAAGCACAACGCAATAGATATTAGACTAGCGGTGAGACATAGAGAGGGATCTACTGTGAGATTCCCTACTGACTGGTTGGTGAACAAGAGTTGTGCAGTGGAATTTCCTCATTAGCACAGTTTAAGTTTTAGATACAGTCATCGTAATATAAGTAACCAGAATCAGCAAAAGTGTTTCACGGTGACTGTATCTTTTTTTAAGCCGTTGTACAAGGAGGTTAACGCGGAACTAGATAAACATTAAACGGGGAATGTAATCATCATGTTATCTGATCAGTATGTAAATGGCTTTGGATCGGGTTATTTCATCTTCATGAGATATAAATATGTGTATGTGTATGCATGTATGTAAGTATGTATGTGTGTGTGTGTAAGTATACATGTTTACGGATTTGACCAGTGGCAGTGAAAGTTAATTACATGTTATTAAATGTTTCCCTTTTTTTCATACTTTCCTATTCAATTAAAAACAACAATTATTTTTTTATCCATTTTCTTAAACCTAAAAGGTACCTTATTTCTGATAAGCTATGATAAGAAATAAATAAATAAATAAACACCTACCGATTATTGTTAAATAAACAAAGTTATCAAGATCACTGGTGATCAATCCGCCTTTTTTACTTTTCTCCCTTCTAGGCTGACTTTAAGCTGATATAATTAATCAGTCTTCCTCCATTAAAAAATAAACTAAATTTATAAATAAACACAGTCACTGATGTGAATTTAGATTTAATGATAAGTTGACTAGCAGTTTCTTCATTTGCATAATACTATTTCATTACTTAGATGTTAAACAATGAAAAAGAGTACGTCGATGTTTACTTTTGCCCTACTCCCGGGGACGGTTGTAATTTTGCTGAGAAGCATATGAAAAACAAAGAAAAATCGAGATTTAATTATTACATATATACATTTTTATATATTTTATAATTTATCGTCCATTCCGGCTGAATACCATCTGTAGTTAGTTATTAATCCAGACTAATAATGATGGCTAAACATGGCAGCAAGTTTCGGTGCGTGTATAAACAACCATTTAAATTGAATTAAACCATTTCGGATGTATGCTAGCCATCCTTTAATTAATCCAGTAATGAAATGGACGTTTATAATAATTAATTATTTCTACTTTCTTCAATATTTAGTTTGCTTTCACATCTAACCATACCTAAAAATCAGAATGACGAGTGAAAATAACATTAGCGAAATAGCTGAACTTTCAAAGAATGCATCTAATATTTATTCCCAAAAATTTGCGGATTCATCAAAAGCTGGTAAGTTTAGAAAAATGAGTTTTCCATTTATACTTTTGCATCTGTATGTTATATAATGAGGCTTTGTACATTTTGACGGTTGTTGTATGAAAAATTTACTCACTTTCAGCTTTCTAAGGCATTAGTCTTGGACAAAAAATCTGTCTTGTGTTTCGATGGTTGAATGGTAGAATTCTCGTCAACCACGCAAGTTGTTCCAGTTTCGACTCCTGGCCGACGTACTGCTAGATCCTGCTTATTTTACCAGGCGTTAATAAGTCTGACAAAGAGGGAATGTTGGGTGCAAGGCTTGCAGCTCCACTCGGGGAAGTTATATTTCCACAGAAAATTCAGGCCCTCAATTCTGGAGTCTTATTCTCTTGAGTTCCAATTAGAACATAATAAAAATTATAAAGTTAACAGAATCACGCTCCTGAATGTAGCCACTTTATGTAATCTGGCGTTCTATCGTTTGTATGATATACTGCGTGGGTCTTCATGTAGTCCCTCGTATATTACCGTAAATATTAGTGATACATCATCTATGTTATCTTGGCGTTTTATATATAAATTTATTGGAGTGATATTGTTTACACTTTCATTACTACTAAAATGAAAGTTTTTATATTGACTAGTAATCTTTTACCTGTTCACCTTTTTTAAACAGACAGTGGTATTGGCACAACATATTTCACTACATCTTCTGGATCTTCATCAAACAATACCAGTCCTGAATCAGACAAGGAATTATTACTTCTACAAGTAAGATACCTTCTGAAAAATTGATTTATCCGTAACTTGCTGAGTTTTCATCTTGTTAATTTGTACAGTGATCAGAAGCACCTAACCCGATAACTCTACTACCGAACATAGAAACTATATGTGTAGCTAATCGTTAAGATCATGTTCCGTGCCCGACGCACTGAACTCTTAGCCAATCACTTTCAATATCTGGCTATCTATCATTAGAATTCTGATTCAAATCAACATCCATCCTGTACGCGTTATGTAACAGGGCCATTATGATAAGTGTGACAAATTAGTCTATACTAATCCTTGTTATTAAAGCTTCAATCTGTTGTTGGCAATTGCTTGAGACACTGAATTATTGTATAACCTGAAGGTTTAGCACGAAAATTTCTTAAGTGTAGATGTGTTTGAGGACACAGAGAAGGAACAAAATGAGAAATGATCGTATCACCGCATTATTCACAGAAAGCTAAGTGAACATTTCACACCATAGTGAGTTTGTTAGAAAAGTGTGAATTGAAAATGTTGGATTTCGGTTATGCACAATTACATCGAATGTCCCTATTTCTTTTGATTTTATGGATGCAAATTACTTGTGATATACATAATACAATACATTTACTACTGTGTGTTGTATGTCAACTACAAACCTGAATAAGTTTTTAAAGTGGATATTAGAATATTTCGTAGTATAATTGAGATTCACTAAATAATTCATTCCCTTATTCATTTATATAGAATGGAAAGACACCAAAACAGTTGCCGAAATCGAAAATTGATGCCACATCAACACCAGCAACACAAATTAAACGTCATAAACCGGAAAATGTGAAATATCAAAGGCAGCTGAAAACAAGAGACGGGATTAGTGACAGTACATTGTGCTGTAATACATCACTGAATCTGACAGATGACCTGAGTACTACAGTAAATATGTCACCCTCATCATCCAGGATTTTTAACATCGATGAACAAGAAAAACAGTTTCCGGCAAGAAATTTACAATTGGAATTGGCTTCTTATACACCACCTCCATCTGACCAGAAAGAGGAGAATAAAGCCGTTAAAACCAGAAAGCAGTCTGCCGTCTCGATGAAATTAAATCTACGTATAGCCGATTTAATTGATACATCAGAAACAAATGAATTGAAAATGTCTATTCCACCGAATACAACATCAAATGACATGGGAGTGGTGATGAGTGGAAGACGACGACAACGGCGTATGCATACATGTGAACACTGTGATAAGCAATTCGATCGACCGTCTCTACTAAAACGTCATACGCTAACACATACAGGTAAGAAAGAATCAGCTGTAATACTACATGGTGTGTAATCAGGCCTAGGTTTCATTAGATATTATTTAGATGGTGATTTATATTAGAGTAAATCATTAAATAGTTGTGCAACTGATTAATTTGTCCACTCACCATCATTCGTGTATAGCTTGGTGACTAATTTCTGAATTGCTTTTTCAGGTGAGCGCCCATTTGAATGCAAATATTGTTCGAAGGGATTTTCTACACGAAGTGGTGTGAATACACACGAAAGAACACATACAGGACAACGACCATATGTTTGTCGTATATGTGGAAGGCGTTTCGCAGCTGGTTCGAACCTAATATTTCATAAATATACACACACAAATGTAAGTTGAAGGTTTTTAAAATAAACTTTAATATTCACATTGAATATCTCTAGTGTTATTTTATTATTCATTGCCCTTACTCCATTCACACTTTTGTCCATTACAGTGTGGTGTTAATTATTTTATTGTTGGTGTAATGTTCTAAAGTATATGAACTCGAACCTATTTCACGGTAATCTATTAAAAAGCCACTGAATTTGTAAATAGCTAAATATGTCTTAGCTTTCGTCATACAATCTTGACGTATGCATCGGCCTAACCATTCCATTTATTTATATACCGGTTAATCGCTGCATCTGTTCTATGATGTATTACGTATTCCTAAGAGCAGTACAATCTGCAGGATAGTTGGTGAATTACTACCTGAAAATGCGAATGTAGGATTACGGATCTGTATATAGACCCAGAAAAGGAATTACTAGTTTTCCATAATACTTCCTAATGTCGAAATTTATTTATTCATAAATGACGTTGTTCAACATATTCATGATTCAAGGTTTATTTCAATTTCAGATATCAATCTCATCATTCTTCTCTAGGGCATATACCTCAAGCCGGTCAATAAATCAATTATTAAATAAATTTTCACGTTTACTTTCAGACACGAAGGCATGTTTGTAGTCAGTGTCCCAAAGCATTTGTCACACCAGGCGACTTAAGAAAACATGAGTATACACACAACGGGGAATGGCCATTCCGCTGCCAATTATGTGACCGTGGTTTCGCAACGGAACGTAATTTAAAGTCCCATGAGGTCACTCATACAGGTAAGCAGAGTTTGCACTTAATTTGATCATTGAATCTCCCTATAAATATGCGTATGCACATGTAGAATTCTTAATGATAATTTAACCTCGGTGTCGTATGACATAAAACTGCACTGCCATCAGAAGTGATAAAGGGCACACTGAAGAAAGATTCTCTATGAACTATGTTCAGTAAAACCCTTCTGAATGAAAATTAAAGACAGTTGTACAAACAACTTTTTTTAAATCGTATACTTTTGAATCCTCAGATGAGGAACTGCTGGACACAGCGGAAACAATCAATAAGGAAATAAATTTAGTGAAATTCTTTTTCTAATGGTTTATTTATCAGATTAATGAATTTCAAAAAATTGGTCATTTTGTTTTATTTAGGTCGAAAACCGCATACATGCACTGTGTGCGGCAAAGGTTATGCCCAAGAAAGTTCAATGAAAACACATATGCGTACTCATCAAAGTGAGTTGATTATCTCTTTTATATTTTGAAATACGTGTTGAATTTCTGCTTGTTAAGTGTACAAGAACAGACAGAGTACTGTAAAATACATTTTAAATATTAAAGGTAGTAGGTTTATGAGAAAGACTTAGTATTGCTGGGATTATGTATATGAAGATTGAGATCAAGACGCGATTTCAGTGCAACTAGGCAATAATGCCCAATGGAAATTTAGTTTATCTGAGTGCTACTCAGATGAAAGAATAACACTTTTCAATATGTGAAGTCAATGAAACAGGGTCTGACAGAACAGTACAACCTTATGGCTATTAGCAAATAAACTTCAATTATACTGATATTTTTAGAAAATTATGGACACACCGTGATCCGAATCAGCAGTATTTTAAGAATTAACGCGACTGTAGTAGATCAGCAGGTGTGATATTGTTGACACTATATGAGGACGCAATAAGTGTCTGTAATTAGCAGTATGCTAGAGCAGACAAATACTTCTATAATTTCTAGTTTCATTGGTGTTATGTACTATTGAAGTATTGAACAGCACTTGGTGGTATATATTACAACTTTTTGTGAATTTTACTATAAATGTGAACTGTTTAACGAAATCTCTTCATTCCCCTTAATTTAGAAGAAAATCACGTTACACCAAAAAGTAAAAGAACTTCAGGTATCTTGAACACTAGAAATGAATTATCCTCTAATTCCCCCAAAACGGCAGAAACTCATTTACAAAACAAAAAGCTTTCGAGAAATGTCAGAGCAAAATTTTCAGAGGAAAGTGGTGTAATAAACTGTTCCAGAAACGAAAGTGTAGTTGCTACTCCCGATGCATACCAGTCGTTTAAAATCTCAGCACCACAAACTCAGACCTACTCAGAGCAGTATGCCTCTGCATTCTCTGCACCTAAACGTCGGACAAATCAAATTCAAGAGGTTAATTTTCAAAATGTGTCGACTCCCCCTAATCATTCTTCAATATATTCAGTACAACCTCAACTTCCAGTTGCTACAATGTCTTCTACACTAACGTCCTACCCGACCGATTCACCTTCATTTAATCAATTATCGCAGCTTTATGAAAGATATCAAATACTGTACAACTATTATATGAAGGCGATGAATGTGGGATCCACGGGGCAAATGAATGTTCAGCAGAACCCCATTCTACAGAATATCCCCATCATCGCGCCTGCACAGAACGAAACTCTTCTAACGCCAACATGTTTATATCCCCCAAATATGAATCCTATTAATCAACCGTTCATGTGCGAATCCAACTTATCAGCGCTACCTCAACAGTCTCCTCATGCTTCGTTAGTGAATCAATCTGATCTAATGAACATTTCCCATTATAATTCTACGTGGTCACCTAACTCAATCAATCCATACAATCATAACGCCGAAATGAGCAGTACTTTCTTCAGTCATAATGCATTTAACGATTCACAGTTCACTGTCAATAAACCAACATATTCAGATATAAATATCACTAGTATTACAAATAACCACAATAATAATAATAATATTAATAATCATACGCCAAATGATATAAACATGATAGATATTCAGGCTTTAGACTATTCCACAAAGGCGTTATCAAAAATGGATAAGTTATCCGATTGAAACTTGAGCTAGAAATCATTTAATTTACTATCTAATTTATTTCTCTGGCAGCGTATCTGTGATAATAAAATACACACTATAAACTTGAACAATTTAAATGACTGTAAAATAGCGCCATTTGCAAATAATGTGTATACATCATGCAACATTTAAATAAGCTTAATAAATAACTTGTAAATACTAATTATATCCTCACTTTAATTAAATACGCCTTTATCAGAAGTTTTTACTCGTAGATTTTGATTGTTAATCTGAAAGAAAAAATGTGGTAAATTGTGCAGTTTAACTCATTTTTCAGTGTTTCATCTACAAAGTGTTATTGATCAGTAGTTTTTTCTGTTGTTTGGAGTTAGGTCCTTGAGTTGTAGGGAACCCATCGACAAACTTGTGTACTGCATTATCAGCATAGTAGTGTTGTGGCTGGCAGTTTTGATTTCCACTAATTTCAGTAGTTTAATCAAAAGAGTAAAAGAGAATTAGTTTTTTAATCTTTTTTCCACAACAGACATCAACTTGTACAATTCAGTTAAAAGATGTTCGAGAAATTAGGCATAACTACAGCCTGCTCAAGTTAGCATTTTGATAAGAGAAGACTCATCTCCAGCTTTAATGAACTTCGACTGATGTGAATCACACACTGCTACTCTTGTAAGAGTATTAAACAATCACGTTGTGCTTTTTTGCTAATTTTCTGAGGAATATAGGGAAGCGTAATAGAAGAAATAAAATTATGAATATCATTATTATTGTATCCGTTGGTGAGTTCGCTTGCTTGAAACATCTAGAATTTACAATCGAAGTTTACATTCAACAATATCTCGCAGATATTCACAGTTGCATACTGACGAGGGTGTTTGAGTTTCAAGTTGATTCAATTTAACAGCACAATAAGTACCACTGTTCTTAGCTTCAACATACATTTCTAGTGTGATTAATGTAAACATAATGAGCGTGATGGTGAGAGTATTATCACATTAGCATATTATGTGAAGAATTTCGACTACCCATCCTTGTGATGACAATTTACATTTAATAACTCAACTTTTATCCATATATAAAGACAAAATAAGAATTTCATATGCACTGAGTGTTTTACTTTTCCTGTTGTTTAATTTTCCTTTACTACAAACAAACTGCCATCATGAATTAATTCCGATTTGTAGATTAACTGGATGCTTTTCCTGATACGGTTTTACTGTCTGGGCTGGACGGTTCAACAATTGTTAGGCTTTCAATGAATTTAAGTGCTTAGAGAACACAAACATACCAAAATCTCGTTATTCTATTCTAAATTATAAGAAAGACTCTTTAGACAGACATTCAGTTCCGGAAACAACAGGCTGATATACGAAGGCTTTTTCACTTGTTCAGTTATACAATATTCTTTTTTTAAACGCATCGTTTACATAATTCTTACCGCCAGTCGAATGGTACTCATATCTGCCAATCAGTGAAAACTTTGCCGTTTTCTGTATGCTTAGATATGCAAGGTGTTGCAGAGAGGAGACGGAATATTAGGAAAAGAATTAACTGTGTAACTGACTCAGTTAAACGATATTCATTCATTAACAGATTGGGTGAAAATTAGAATGAACAGTGCATAAATGGGATTTTTCCTATATTTCTATATACTATTTATCATATAATTAGGATGATAACATAAATTTTAGTTGTACAATGTAATCTGTGAAGCATTTAAGCATATGGCTGATAATATTTGATTGTTCTCAAGTTGAATTTCATTGTGATATCAGTTAAAGAGACAGATTATTTAAGCAATAGTCTCACAGATGTAGAAAGAAATAATTGTTTGAAAATGTGAAAGTCTTAAGTGGTGCTTTTAGACATCCAGTTGATGAACATCAGGTAAATTTGTCCTCAATTTTGCTTTATTGTATTGATCTTAGCATTAGATTCGGGTTTCATACGCAATTTTCTAAAAACTCCATACATGTGAAAGAAAAAAGTTATTGCATCGGTGGATCAGTGGTAGAATGCTCACCAGCCGTGAAGGCGATCCAGGTTCGATTGTCACATTCACTCATCTTTAAATCACCTAAGTTTCGACAAGAGGGAAGGTAAGGTATAAGACTAACAGTACCATTCAGTAAAATAACAACACCACCACTATTGATACTTCAAAGCTTGAGACTTAAAGGAATGTGTGGCGGTAGGTAATTATTAGCCACAGCATTCATCACTGAACATTGGATACTAAACCTCACTGTTCAAATCGATTTGTTTAACTGGTTGAAGGAATTGTTTAGCTGAAGGCTTACAGTCAAGCATCCACACCATTTGGTACGCACTCGTGTTACGTTCGTTCGCTCATGCATGATCTCTAGCTAGTTATTCAATTATCCTCGCACTGCAATTTGGTCCCGAAGTATACATCGTAATTTGGACAATCATTCCTGGTGTTTTACTTTGCCTTTGGTCTACGCGAAACAAATACTACAGAAGTTGTGAGTATTAGATCTTGAGTTAGTATAAACCGTACTGTTCGTGAACGTCAACACCCTCAGCCTCTAAAAATGCAAAAAATACATATTATTTGCTCAGCATCACTGAATTATCTGTATGCGCCTGAAGAAGCAATCAAATGGTATGAACTCATGACAAAATTATGACACAATAATAATAATTATAACGATTATGATTATTTTATTTGTAGAAGTATTATGACGCAAGCAGATAAGCAGCTTAGAATAAATATGAGATGGAAATTATTATTATCATTATTATTATTAGCTAAATGTGCTTCAAAAGCTGCTTACACTTGCTATATATCCTTTACAATAGTCATATGAATTAATTCTAATCTACTTTAAGTGCGCATCATAAGTTTGTGCGACTGATAGAGAGGTATACGTTCGTATGTGTGTATGTATGTGTGAGTGGGTGCGTGCGTGTAATTACGGATGGTTCAAATTTCTCTAATACTAATTAATCTCCGTGACTTGATACTATTATCAATATTATAACCTACACCGCCCACCGCATCTTTAAGTATAAGCTACCACTTAACTTAATTCATGATGAAAACTAGTCAAATGGGACTATTTTCAAGTGTCATGAGGATCATTTGTATGTTAAGAATATATATATATATATGCATAATACATATATATACTCTCCCCTCCTATTCTGTACTAATGTAATCTTTTATTTAGGGAAATATCACGTTCAGTTTTACCAATTCTTCTGAATCTTGTTTCATTTTTATGCTTTTTTTTGTCACACTGATCTTTTTGGAGTAAAGAGGATAAGGAATATCATAAATTTATCAGCGGTTACTATGATGGGCATAATTATCACAAATAGGTCAGTAAACGGCTACTACTTGCTGTTTAAAAAAACAGTATACAGCACTGTTACGATCATACAACTGAGATGGATTACAGCTTTGTGTTTTCTGGATAATGTTATCTGTAAAAGCGTTTTAAATTAGTTACAGGATTTCGTCAAGAGCTGACATTGGTTAGATAACCATTGTAAAACCTGGTAGTACTGTACAGCTGTTTCGTCCTAGTTTGGGACACTTCATCAGTATGCATCCACTGGGGTTCGGATGCAGGACCTTGTGGTTACAAGGCGAGCTCGTATACCGATAAGCCACTGGGACCCTATCCAACGGCCCATGAATTATAACTTCTGCCAATTTACGATATAGTGTAACCAGTACTCCCAGGTTTTACAACGGTTCTCTAACCAATGTCATCTCATGATGAAATCCTGTAACGAAACAACCAAATCCCTTCAAACCAATACTTGAATGTTTTAAATTAGCTTTCTGTTAGCGTCACTAACAATGAGCAACATTTTACACGACAACTCTAAAGCAGTAAATTATAATGACTTACGAAGACTGAGCATGCGTCACCCAAATAGTGTTTCTTTTATTGCTGCTCGTCAATTAAGAACGATGTGAGGCAAAAAAAGAAATGAAGGGTAATTTTCATCATTTCTAGCTAGAATATCATTTCAGGATGTGTAGATGAATTTCAGTAACTGGGATTTTTAGTCACCCTACCGTTTTAATCAGAAATCTGCTAAATGATTTGTTTATTTGATCAATAGAAATCTCCAACTGAAATCTATAGTTCACCATCCTCTTTTTTTGTTCTAAGGTGGAGCCTCTCAACAGGGCATGAATATAACCCTTCACAGCAGTGATACCTAGTTCAACAGTATTTGACCTGACTTTAAAAGTAAGTTGCTCACGGGACTCCAACATCCCATAACCTTTGGGAGTGATTAGGACTCTCGCCGAGCATGCACATGGTCCTGGATTCGATCCCCTGCCGACGCATACTCGATATCAATGGTTGGCTTACAAAATTGAGCTACCTATATCACATGCTGAAAATTCCTTACCGGTACCAAAACTGCGGTGTGGAATCAAGCTATAATAAAAAATAATAAAAATGTATCCGTTTGTCTAGCAAAATTATCAAAAGTAATTGCTCAGGTAGGGTAGAATGTCTCACTATATAATCGCTTGTCTATAATCGCAGTTATGATTTAATTTATTGCTTCTGCTCATTCGTTGATAAAAAAAATATTTAGTGGAAATCAATTTGTGCGGTTTATTATTTACTGGTACAAATGGAGCAAACCTTTAAGAAGAAGAAGAAAATGTATATCTATAGCTGATAAAGGATATTATATCATGAATGTATAGCTGATAAGCTTAATTGTGAATTTACTCATAACATGCAAAATTAAGTGCTTGAAGGGGGTAAAGACAAAGGTGGGAGGCAGAAGAAATGGTTGTTTTTATTCTAAATGTAAATATCCGTTTATGTTTGAGTCTTAAACTAGACTGTTTCATGGTGTGGACGGATCAAGGGATTCTAAATACTACTATACCTATATATATTATGTTATATGACTGCACGTTCCCAGCAGTAGCTTTTTTACGGGATGAGGTCGCTAGTCTCACGCCCAGCATTCCGTCTTAATCAAGCTTATTACCAGATAAGTAAGATTCAGGTGTG